GGGTTACAACAATAGAGACTTAACTAAGAGTCCTGGTGTGGCGCTGTAGGGATAATACACTGGGCCACAAGGTCGCTTTGAACCCCAAGGTCGGTGGCCAAATCCACTACCTGCTCTTTGGAAACTCATACAGGGTCCCTCTAAGTAGGAACAACAGGGATTTAACTGGAGACCTGGTGTGACGCTGTAGACTAAGCACTGGACTGCTAAATGCAAAGTCGGTAGTTCAAACCCACGAGTTACTCCTCGGAAAACTTATTCAGGGTCACGATGAGTCCAAACTGACTTGACAGCACTTAACAACAGAGGCGAGGTGAGTATGCTAAAACCTGTATGCGGGAACTTTGTTGTTAAGTGCCATTGAGTCAGTTCCCACTCACAGCGACTTAGGGTTTCCCAGGAGCGGCTGGTGTGTTTAAACCGTCAATCTGGTGGCAAGCGGTCCAGTGCTAAACCTACAGCTCCACGCCAGGACTCCTAACCAACACCCCCACTCTTGGCCCTCATCCATCGAAATCTCTGGAAAGGTGAGCGATCCGACTGGGGTATGCTACGGTGGTCTGCTGGGGCGGGTGCTCCCGGCAGCCTGTGAGACGTCTCCACTGATATTTGCCACTCTGACCCTCCCCAAGGTCGAACCCGGCCGTTCGCTCGCAGCGTCAGGCGCCTCTCTACCTCCAGAGTGCGGAGCCGCAGCAGCTCAGCCACCAAAGCAGCAGCGCCATGCCCCAGGCCGACATGGCGCCGGGTCAGCCTCCCTCAACTGCCTGGACCGCACCCTAGCCCGGTCTCGCGCGCCCAGAGCGGCGCTGCGGGGCGGGAAGTGCTGGCGCTTTGCTGCCAAACTCCCGGGAAGCGCCTGCGCTGGTTCTCCAGCAAAAGAAAGTGTGTGCGCGCGTGCAAGCTCGTGCCGCTCCCTAACCGGAGAGTTATTGGAATTCGAGGGTGTAAACTAGCTTTGCTGCTGTTGTTGAGTGCGGTGGAGTTGGTTCCTTCTCACAGTGATCCGATGTACATTATGAAACACCGCCCAGTTCTACACCATCCTCAACAATTGCTACGTTTGAGCCCATTATTGCAGCCACTATCTATCTTTGAGGGTCATGCTCTTTTTTGTTGACCCTGGAGTTCTGTTGTGGCGCTGTAGGATAAGCACTGGACTGTTAACCAAAAGGTCGGATGTTCAAATCTACCAGCTCCTCCCCAGAAAACCTATACAGGGTTGCTATGAGTTGGAACCACAGCACTTAGTAACAACTAGTACTTTACCAGGATCCTGGGTGTGGCGGCCAGTGGACTGCAAAGTTGGTTTGAACCGCAAGGTCGGCGGTTCAAGCTCATCAGCCGCTCCTTGGAAACCCTACACAGGGTCACTATGGCACTTAACAACAACAACTTCTTTACCAAGCATGATGTCCTTCTCCAGCGACTACTCCCTTCTGATTCCATGTCCAAAGTATGCAATGAAGTCTCACCATTCTTGCTTCTAAGAATCCAACCTTACTTCTTTTTAAACAGATTTGTTTGTTCTTCTGGCAGTTTATGGAACTTTCAATATTCTTCACCAACACCATAATTCAGATGCATCCATTCTCTCTGGTCTTCCTTATTCATTGTTCAGCTTTTGCCTGCAGCTGAGGTGACAAAAAATACCATGACTCAGGACAGGTGTACCTTAGTCCTCAAAGTGCCGTCTTTGCTCTTTAACACTTTGAAGAGGTATTTTACAGCTGCTTCCATGAGTGTTGATTGTGGATCCAAGTAAAATGAAATCCTTGACAACTTCAATCTTTTCTCCATTATCGTGATGCTATTTATTGGTCGAGTTGTGTTGATTTTTTTCCTTTACATTAAGTTATAATCCATGCTGAAGGCTATATTCTTTGTCATCAGTAAATGCTTCAAGTCCTCTTTGCTTCCAGCAAATAAAGTTGTGTCCATCTTCAAATCCCAAGTTGTTAGTGAGTCTTCCTCCAATCCTGATGCCATGTTCTTCATATGTTGTTGTTGTTAAGTGCCATTGAGTCAGTTCCGACCCATAGCGACCCTGTACAGGGTTTCCGAGGCTATAAATCTTTACGGGAGCAGAAAACCTTATCTTTCTCCTGCGGAGCGGCTGGTAGTTTCGAACTGCTGACCTTAAGGTTTGTAGCCTGTTTCATAACCATTATGCTACCAGAGCTCCTTATAGTTCAGATTATTTGAATGGTTTAAAATCAGGAAAGGTGTATGTCAAGGTTATATCTTTTCACCATACTTAATCTATATGCTGAGCAAATAATCTGAGAAGCTACACTATATGAAGAACATGCCATCAAGTCAATTCCGACTCATAGTGAAATCCTACAGGACAGAGTAGAACTGTCCCATAGGGTTTCCAAGTCTGTAAATCTTTACAGAAGCTGACTGTTACATCTATCTCCTGTTGAGCAGCTGGTAGGTTTAAACCACCAGCCTTTTGGTTACTAGCCCACTACAGTACCAGGAATCCTTTAAAATGTAGTGTAAAAAACAACACATTGTCACTAAATTGATTCTGACTCATAGGAACCATATATAGGATTTCCAAGACGGCAAATGTTTATGAGAGCAGGCAGCTTCATCTTTCTCCTGAGCAGTGACTGGTGAGATTGAACCACCAATTTTTCTGCTAGTGGCCCAATGCTTAATTGTATTATTAAAGAACAAATGTGACAGTGTATACAAGATTCTATTCCTATTTGTTTTCCTTAAGCAACTTTTATCAGAATTAGATGTCATAGTTAATTTGAATCGTAGTTGAAAAAGCATTTGATCAAAGTAAGTATACTATAGAACCTAACTGCAACAAAACACTAAGAGGATATATACAGGAAGGACATGGGCTTTTGGACTGCCCGTCTAGGTACCAATTGTGGCCTCACTAGAGCAAGTTATCTTACCCTTTAAACCCCCAGAATCCTGTAAAGTAAGGAAATATTGAACCACCTAATACATTTGGTTGTGAGGATTAAAAGAGATAAATGCTTTACAGTATCTAACATATGTTATTGTTGTTGTTGTCAAGTCCCGTCGAGTCGGTTCTGACTCGTAGCGACCCTGTATAGCGTTTCCAAGGTGCAGCTAGTGATTTTGAACCTCCGACTTTGTGGTCCATACCGACTTTGAGGTCCAGTACTTTATCTCATAGTACCACATCAGTAATTCACCTCTCCGTAGTTTCTGTTAATGTGTAAAATGAGAAGGGTTAGAACTCCAGCTGATCTCTATATTTTCCTTTACCTTATTTCCCTACTCAAGTTTATTCTTTTGATCCCTGTCTCCATCTCTGCTCTCACTTCCACTTCTAAATTTATACTTTTCAATTCCATCTTATTTGCATTTTTAAGTTAACCCTTTGTGTTTTGTAAACGCCATCTCATTCTTTAATAAAAATAATTTTCTAAAAAATTTAAAATAAACGCTATCAGAGATGGAAGCCTTAGTGCCGCAAACACCATTGATACCAGAATACTTCCTTCAGCCCAAAACGTTGCATGCCGGGAGTAGTAGTCCGATACTCCAGCACGCACCCACGCCTCCATAGAAAGACGGAAGAGTCGGTGGGCGGGGCGTTAGGGAGGGTAAAAGGAGCGCTCGAAGCCCCGCCCCTGATCTCTTCCGCTCACTCGGTTCTCACTAGAGTGGCGCGACAGACCGCGGAAGGGGCGTGGCCTCGGGTCCCGGGTGGCGGCAGTTGCCGCCACCAGGGCCTCTTTCTCCGGGAGGTGCTGCTGAGGCTGGCTTGCGCGGGGCAGCCATGGCCCCCTATTAAATCCACTGGGTTGGAAAGCGGGGCGGGGCTTGGCTGGCGGGTGGCAGCCCGAGAGGAGGCGGGGGCGGGGACGGGGCCGGCCTCTAGATCCTTCTTCCTCCGCATGTGGCTTGCGGCCGCAGAGCAGTTCAATTTGCTCTCTCTTTGCGGTTTCCTTCGTTCCCTCCTCGCGTCGCTGGAGCCATGGCGTTCTCCGAGACCAACACGGCGGCATCTTCCATGCCCAACGGCGATTGTGGTCGCCACAGAGCGCGGCCGGGAGGGAACCGGGTGACGGTGGTGCTTGGCGCGCAGTGGGGCGACGAAGGCAAAGGGAAGGTGGTGGATCTGCTGTCGCAGGACGCCGACATCGTTTGCCGCTGCCAGGTGAGGCACCGGGGCTGTGACGGAAAGCAGGGCCCAGGAACTCGGGCTGCCTGACTTCCAGTGCTCAGAACCCGAATCTACTGGCCAAAGTAAGGTGTCACCTTGAGGTTGTCTTCTCGATGCTAGCGGCGGCGACATGAAGACATGGCGGGAGGTCAGGGACCCCCGACCTAGGGTCTTGGGCTGATGGGATGAGGTGACTGGAAAAAAATGGGGTCCCATGGAGAGGCTTAGATGCCTTGGATGCGCGATGCCTGGGGAGTTGCAGTGTTTAGTTTGGGGACCGGCGTTCCGCCCCAGGAACGGTGACGGCATGGGAGTGGTATCTAGTCCGAGTTTGAGGCGCTACCGCCCGAGGCCTTCGATTCTAGGTGTTGACGCGGGCGCGGAGTCCACCTATCTCCCATCCATCCAACCTGGACGACCAAGCGGGATTGGATTGTTCCCATAAACGGAAATCCAGATTCACTATTCCCTCACCTGCAGGCCCGGGGCACGCAGAAATCTTCTCCAGTCCAGAACCCACCTCTGACTCTGGCTTTGGACTGTTTAAGGGCCTCGGTTTTGATTGTTTTTCACTGGTTACCTCCCTAAATTAATATTAAGGAGAGATATTTCTTTGTTGACCACAGAGGAAGAAAGCGTTACCCTGAGGCCAGTAAATACATGGATATAAGATTTGATATTTAGAAATAACACATTATTAAGGTAATCATGGAAAGTGAACTTTCGGGAAGTGGGGAATGTACTTCCTACTGGTAGACACGTGGTTTTCTGTGTACGCTTTCTTCCTTAGTATCCTTTCCTTTGAAAGCAGCATAGAGGATGTTGTTGTTAAGTGCTGTCCAGTCGGTTCCCAACAATAGCGACCCTGCATAGGGTTTCCAAGTAGTGACTGGTGAGCTTGAACCACCGACCTGACCTTGCAGTTTAGGTCTTTGTAAAAGTTCTAAGAGCCCGTTACCAAAAAGTTGGTGGTACAAACTCACCAGCTTCAAGGGAGAATGATGAGCAGCTCTACTGTGATCTAGAAGGTCACTGTCACAAGTGACTCTATGGCAGCGCAATTTTATTGACTTAAAAATTGCTTACACAGCAGGTTAAGGTCACTGAAATGAATTTGTTTGAGTAGGGGTTGATTCAGTTGTTTCAAAGTGAGGGTAAATTTATATAACATTAAAGTGCAAGTAATAAAATGTTTGAAACCAGAGGGAATTACTGTGTGTGTGTGTGTGTGTGCCTTCCTTTTCATACATGCTTGGGAAGGGGAGAGAAAGACATGAGCAATTAATTCTCCCTGAGATATCGGAGGAGGATTCTTGTTAGCTCTGTGGTAGCTGTTAGCCTCAAACTCATGGTGACCCTACGTACAATGGCATCAGACCCTTGCGAACCGTAGGGTTTTTATTGATTGCTTTTCTAGCAGTAGATCCTCAGACTTCCTAGTCCGAAAGTGGCACAGAAACCTGCTTGGCATCACAGCAACATGCACTGCCAGATGGGTGGTGGAAGTATTTTGTTTCTTTTTATTATGTTGAGACAAAAGAAGAAGATGGTGTTTAACAACAGTGGAACATGTATATATAGGGGCAAACTTGTAAAAACTTTGACATTACCAAATACTTTGAAGTTGCTTGGCCTGGAGGCTCAGGACCGTAGTCTCTGGGAATAGCTTGGTCAGTTTGCTTAAACATAGCACACAAAGCTAACCATTGTTGTTGTGTGTCGCCAACACAACATAACCCTGTAGAGGGTTTCCAAGGAGCGGCTGTGAGTTACCTGGCAGGCCACAAGCCTTGTTCCCACACACACCCCGTCCAGGTCAGGTAATGAAGGAGGACACTCGAACAGGTGATGGGGACCTACATCTGCTTACAGAGGATCTGGCTGGTTGGCTGTGTGTGGTGGAGTCGGTTCCGACCCACAGCGACCCTGTACAGGGTTTCTGAGGCTGTAAATCTTTATGGGAGCAGAAAGCCTCCTCTTTCTCCTGCGGAATAGATGGTAGTTTCGAACTGCTGACCTTGCAATTCGCAGCCTGATTGGTAGCCACTACACCACCAGAGCTCCAGTGGCCTAGAACTGGAAGATGTCAGGAGGGTACTCCGGGCTTTCAGACTAGACACACCCACACCTTCAGGATTCTGAGCCAGAGGATTTGGTTTCCTTGAGGTTCAGTGCTTAATCCTACTCACCACACCAGGACTTTATGGTTAAAGTTAACCATAAAGACTTAAGAATATCCACTTTACCTTATAAGATAACTAAGCAGGGCACTTGGATGTCTTTACTGAAAAGAAATTCTGATGCCCTGTATATGTTTTCTGTTCTTCTATTGTGTATCTGGTTACTGCTGCATACAATTTGATCAATTTACGGGCAGTAATTTAACCTGCTCTACTTTGGAATCATGCTAATTGCAATTACATGAAGGTTTTTTATAAAAGAACAGCCCTCCTTGTTTATGAATTCATTATTGCTGTGAATTGACAGGTGTTTCAGTTTGGGTTAATAGTGGAATATTTCATCTAGAAAGGGAGATTCAGGAAACTTGAAGACTCTGAGACAAGAAAATACTAGCTTTTGGTTGCTGGTGTAGTTCAGGGGCCTGGGTCTGAAGTATTGCTACTCTGCTGTAATCCATAGTCATGGTTCTGACTTCTTGATTTGATATTCATTTTGAACTCTATAATCAAGTCTTCAGAGCAGAAAGGGCAGAGGGAAGTCCCACAGACTTTTACTGAGGTGTTGGTTGTGTGCTATTGAGTTGCTATAAGTTTTTTTGTGAGCAGAAAGTTTCATTCTTCTCCTGTAGAGTGCCTGGGTGGACTCCAACTACTGATCTTGCTGTTCACAGCACAACTTGGAATCCACTCCACCACCAAGGCTCTTTATTACTGAGGAGACCTAACTAAGTGGCCTGAAAACTACCTCTGGAGCATGAGTATAGAACATTGGTAACTCTGGACACTTGGATCTTTGTGCCTGCCAGAAAAGACATGCCACTGTTTTCAGTTTGTCACAGTGGCAAGGTACCTTTTAATACTGCCTTCCTCTGATCCCAGCAAGAGCACGTTGAGTTAAGCATCGGAATCATTACAGACTAATGAATGCCGTTTCTTCCCTTCCAAATTAGTTGTGAATTGACAGATGCTTCAGTTTGGGTTAATAGTGGAATTATGAATGTTTGTTGTGGGGGGGGATTTTTTTTTGTTGTTGGTTTTTTTTGTTGCTGTTGTACTGATTTGTTTTTTCCTCACCTGGACCATTGGCGCTTCTTAATCAGAAACACATGTCAAAATTTCTTCTAGATTTGAACTTGACAGACTGCTTCTGAGGAGCCATGGAAGGAAAACTCAAAACACTTGTCTTCCTAACTCCTTAATATTAAAATCAAATTAGGAAGAAATAAGTATATATGAAACAACTGAGAACAATAGAAAACTAACAAAATACTATGATAGCCTTGTGTCCTGTGGCACCATGTTTTAGAGTATTGTCCTTCACAATATAACTGATAGTAAAATTTAGCAGTTGATTGTTTTTATGCTCATAAAACTCAAAGAGCAAGATGTATCCATGCTATGTGCAATGAGTTTGTTTTATGAATCATTTGCATTCCTTCCAAGCAATAGAAAAAGCAAAGTGGGAGTATGTTTGAAAGAAGACTGGGACTGCCAAACCTCAGGGTAGCCTGAAATCCAGGCCACTCCCAGGAGCTCAGCAGCCTTTCTCTTTAGGATTCACCATAAGATAACAGCATCTCACTCCTGCTGCCTTTTCTGTTCAAAAGCCAATTCCTAAAGGAGTATCTGATTGGCTCAAATGGATTAAGTTTCCTTCTCTGCATCAATCACAATTGCCAGATGAATGATTACTATGATTTGTAAAGTAAGAGAGAAGAGCTGAACATACAGAAGTTGACTTGACCTGGGTTTCGTTTCATAGGGAAAAATAAGTCATGAAGAATTGTTTGTTATGAGTTGTGCTTGTTTAGAAATTGCTTTCAAGATGTTTAATACACTGTTCAAAACCACCAGCCACTTCTTGGAAACCCTGTACAAGGTTACTGTGAGTCAGAACCGACTTAATGACACTTAAAAACAATACACTGTAAACCTCTACAACTTCCCTGCAAGGGGATGGGGGAGGGGAGCAGGGGAGATTAGGACTTAAGTAGGATTTTTTTTTTTTTTAGTATATTTCAAAATTAAAAATGGTTAAATAACACTGAATTATAAGATACCTGAGAATAATTAAAGAATATTTTCCATATTGGCATAATTGATATAAAAACATTTATTGTTATTCCATAACTGTTTCATTCAATAGCTCACCAACTGCTCCTAGGAAACCCTATACAAGGTCACTATGCGTCGGAATCGACTTGACAGCACTTAATAACAACATTTATATAGAACATGTGAAGAGATTTGATGGTCCAATAGTTAAAGTGGTTGTTAATTAAATAGTAGGAGGTTTGAACCCACCAGGTTTTTTTCACAGGAAAAATGTGACATTCTGCTTCTGTAAAGATTTACAGCCTTTGTAACATCTGGGACAGTTCTGTCCTGCTCTTTTAGGTCACTATGAGGCAGAATCTATGCTACAGCATTGGGTTTTATCTAGAACATACAATAAGAGATGCAGAAAGCATCAAAAGACAATGGAAAAAATACACAGTTACTGTACCAAAAAGAAATGGTTGATGATGCTCAACCACTTTTAAGAGGTAGCATATGATCAAGAGTCAATGATGTTGAAGAAAGAAGTACGAGGTGCATTGAAGGCATTGGCAAAGAACAAGGCAATAGGAATTAATGGGATACAAATTGAAATCTTTCAACAAACTGATGCGGCACTGGAGGCACTCACTCATGTATGTCAAAGACAATTGGAAGACAGCTATCTGGCCAACTGACTAGAAGACATCCATATTTGCACCCATTCCAAAGAGAGGTGATCCAATGGAATGTGGACATCATCAGACAATATTACTG